GTGAATCCATTGTACGTCGACAACCGAATTGTCGAGGACGCTGAAGCCGCCTCAAAGCACTTTGAGCCGATGACGAATCAAAGGCGAGATCATTATATCTCGCTCTTTCACGATCTCCGGTACTGGAGCTTGAAGAAGACTTTGGGGCGAAGCGGAGTGCCCGAGTGGCGGCACTCTGTCAAAGCTGGAATCAGTTTGTTGAAAACTTCAACAAAGACTCGACAGCTTATCGCGAGCGAATTGCTTCAGCTCGTGAGCGCTTCATGAAGTACTCCATTACTTCTGTCGTCCAACGCGTTCACGAAGGTTCCATGAATGCGAACATTCCTTGTGCAATGCCAGTGGGCGTCAATTGCCCGCACTGCCCTCCTGGTGCTCCCCGCACCAGCGAGAGAGACCTCACCGGGTACACGACTAACCGTGTACCTGCAAGCGTTAAGGAGCTACGTGCTAAGCTCGCATGCACGCGTCAGCATCCTAGTGTTGTGACTGAGCACACCACTGCGCGAAATACTGCGCCCCGCTGTGACACGCCTCCAGTCCGTGGTGGGCTTCGTACGCCTTCACCATTCCGTAATCAGGACGTTTCGGGGAAACCACGTATCTCGAAGGAGACCCGATTGTCTCCAACGAATACGAAAATGAACCGGACTTCAGTTCGTCTTCAGATTGGTATGGTCAACAATATGACCCACCTCGCGGTGGATCGTACGCGGACAGAGTTACACTTCTGTCGGCGGTGTTGGACGCTCATCATATGGTCAACCCCAGGTTGACCAAGGTCTTCAGGCGCTCCACCTCGCGTGGAAGCTCTTGAGCGCGTTCAGGCTTCGTAGATCGCTGAGCTGAAGCAGCAGCTGGACGTGCAGAAGGCTTACGTGACCGAAGTCGCTCAGACCACCTCAAACATCCGTGTTGAGGTGTCGGAACAAGTTCGTCTTCTCCAGGAGAAGGTGAAGAGGCTTGAGGCGAGGCTGAAGGCGCGCCGCGCGTCGTCGTCGGCGAGTCATCACGGCTAGATGACTCGTGCTGCACGTAGGGCTTCAAGCGCCCAACGTAGAACGTTGGGTGGAGTCTCATGTCGGAAGGTAGTTCCAACGTGTATGCACTGCCGTGACGTTCTGCCACCGTGAACGGCCCAATGAAGCGCGGAGCAAGCTTGCTTGCTCCGAATCCAGAAACTGCATGTCAGGTTTTGAGTAGATAACAAAACCAATGAACCAATTTTGAATTCATTTGTGTTACCCCTGCCCACATTGTCAGCATTCAGCTTCTGCTTCTGCTTATCCGCAGAAGCTACAATTGCATCTTGTACAAATCGAACGACTGCTTGTCGTTCCTGGCCAAAGTTCATTGCTTCAGAGCTGAGCCCCGAGCCCAGCTCATTGGCCTTGTCCGGGTCTGTGCCCTGCACAGACCCGCCACTTGTGTTCGCATCAGTCCCAGACTGTGCGTGGCTCTTTGTGGTGTGTGATCGCAACAGGCCCAGCCTGTGCGTGAAGCTTCTCAGTATCGATGCCCGGCATCGATACATCACTTGTGCGTGCAACTGGCACGGCCTGTGAGGTTGTCTTCGCGGTGTCTGTGCCAGCACAGCTACGTTGGCCTTGGTCGAAGCAGGTGTCGCCTGCTCGTGGTTCTTCACCGTGTCAGTTCCCGACGCTGAAACGTGGCCTTGTCGTGTGCGGGCTCACGCTCTCGCACGTGTCGTCGCAGCTGATAGGTCTGTATCAGCTGTATTCTGCGGTTGTTCGAGCGCAACTGTAGGTCCTCCCCCACTTAAGGAGGAAGCCACCGCCCCGAGCGTACTCTGAAGGCGTGGATGCCGCATGGCGTTCACGAAGAACGGTGTATGCCCAGTCGAGGCATGCACCGCGTTGTTGATGGCAAACTCGGCCATCGGCAAGAAGTCTCTCCAGTTGTGTGACAACTGGGCGTAGCTCTTAGGCAAGTCCACGAGCACGCGGTTTACGTGCTCGGTTTGCCCGTCCGTCGGCCGATGATCGCTGTTGACATTGGGAACTGCGTTTCAAGAAGTGTGAATACTTCTTGCCTGAAACGCACCGTGAAGCGCGGATCGAGGTTCGACACAAAGTTGTTGGGCATGCCATGGTGGTTGAACACCATGTCGACGAACAGACGTGCGTCTGTACGGAGGCCACCTCCGCTGCGACAGCAGCGAGATGGACCATCTTGCTGAAACGGTCCACAAAGACCGCTATACCAGTCTTTCGCTTGGATTCGCGCGGAAGACCAAACACGAAGTCCATCGAAACGGCCTCCCAACACTCCGACGGAGTCGGCAGTTGTTGCAGAGGAGCCTGCGACTGAGGTGCAGGCTTCACTCGCTGACAAACAATGCGGTCTGCATTGTCGTCTACAGCGCTGCAAAACAGTAGACCGTCATGCACACGATACCGGTGTGCACTCGCTCGTAGACGAGGTGCCAACTTCCGACGTGCTTTGTCGGAAGGAACTGAGAGAAACTCGATCGGCTGCTTCGCCTCTGCGTCATGCGCATACGCAGCCTTCACTTCGTCCAACAAGGACGACGACGGAGTATATGTCCGAGCGGCGTCAATCCGGTTGACGTCAGCTGTCTTGACAGCATAATATGGTCGTCGCGACAACACGTCCGCGACGACATTCAACCTTCCGGGTTTGTAACCGAACTGGAAGTTGTACTCCGCCAAGCAGGACAACCATCTAGATGTGCGGAGAGTTTACAGCCGTCCGCAACGACGCGTGGTCCGTATAGACGACGAACGGCGTATTGCCGAGTAAGTACACTCGGAACTTCGCGAGTGCATACTTCATGGCAAGGAGTTCCTCGTCATGTACCGGGTAGTTTCGCTCAGCTGACTTTAGCTGACCCGACTGGTACTAGATGACTCGATCACGGCCCTCGTGATCGAGTTACACTAACGCACATCCGATCGCAAAATCGGATGCGTCACACACTACGTGAAAGGGACGATCTTTGTCAGCCACAGCCAAGATCGGCGCTTCAGTCAAGCCCAGCTTGACTGCATCGAACGCCTCCTGACACTCAGTAGTCCATTCCCTCGCAGCTTCCTTCTTCAGAAGCTGCGACATCGGGCGAATCTTGCCTGCATTGTTGTCTACGTACTTGCACAAGTACGTGGCAAGGTCAAGAAACTGCTACAGTTCCTTCACGTTGGATGGAGTAGGCCATTAATTGATCACTCCGACCGTCTTGGGGTCAGGGCGTACGCCATTCTTCCCAACGAGACACTCTAGCACGGGTATCTCGCTCGCACCGAAGATGCACTTCTTCAGGTTCGCATAGAGCTTG